ACGATAAAACTAACTTCCAACCATCCGGTTATTTTATTTTGCCGAAATAATTGGTTATCAATTTTTTTTCTTGACGAATGATAGAAAAGCAACTATTTTTTCGAAATATTTAATTTTGCAATCCAAAACCAAATTTATCATTTCTCTGTCATTTAAATTTAAGTTTAAAATAAATGTGCTGACTTCCTTTTAGACCGAATTATCCAAATTTCGCAGAAAGTAGACAGAAATCTTTCTAAAACAAAATAACTAATTAAGCGGAATCGTAATTTGATATCGTGTGTTTCCGAAATCATCTGCGCAAAGTTTCTCGACAGGGAAATTCTCTTCCAAATTGTATCTCTTTTGTCTGTTCATGTAGAATTTCAGTTTCATTTTTTTCGTTTTCTTCTTTCATTACGGCAATTATAGCAAACAAGAAGGCATATTACTGCATTCGGTCATTTCACCCACGTTTTTGTCACAATTTTACTTATAAAATCAGGTTTCTTTATTGACTGGCCATTATCCCTTAACTGTATTCGATTTGATTGTCCTGCCGCTGAAATTTCTCAGGATCATTCATTCAATCAATAACGCCACAATTTGTTACAACAAAGGAGGAGAAAATGGTGTAAAAGCAAATATGACGATCTTGGATTTTATCCGATAATTATCAACGAATATAGTTAGTATAGTAGATCATTGGGCTGAGTTCCTTCCCGTCACTACGAAATTTGATGAATTTTTTGAGTTGCGATAAATCGGAGCTTAAGATCGCGGGTGAGTGCAGGTTAGGATCCTTCTGAATGAGCTTTTTTTTTTCTTCCTAATCCATGTATATGTACATTTACATATAAGGGAAAATCCATAAAAGGTTAGTTTTTATAATCGAGCAAACAATACATCCTAATAAATTACAACATTCCTTTTATTCTCTATTTCCTTTCCTTTAACATCCCTAATTCAACGACCTGTCAATTAATCGACAGTTAAATTATTGTCCAAGGCAACGACAAGGAGTTTGTTAGTTGATCATATTACTTGCTTTTTGTATAACTCGTTTATCATTGCTTACCAATTCATCGTGTTATACACATACATATTTTTACCTTTTCTTGTTGTTAACTAGTAATATTGTACAAGAACAATATTACCTCCCGAATAAATTTGTATCGCCGAGAAACGAGTTGAACAGAAAAGCAGTCCCAATAATTGTACTATATTGTATAAG